TCTTGTGCATGGATGAGGTCAGCAGGCTCAGGACAGGCTCCAGAGGGAAATACTGCCCCCGGGGCTGAGGGACAGCACAGTGGCACAGCCCTCTGTGGTGATCTCAGACCTGCCAGCACAGTTGTCTTTGTGCCTGCTCTTCACTCCTGGACATGAAGAGCAGGCATGAGTTAAAGCTAAAATCTCTGTCTTAAATTGTTCCCCAGCCATGAGGATGAGGAAGGGTCATTCCCAGAAGTCTCTGGGGGGACAAGTGTCTCACAGCATGTGAATTACAGCCCCTGACCAAGCAGTGGCTGAGGTTTCTGGTACCCTGGGGCAGCCTGGCCCTCTCTGTGCCAAGGATCCCACCCCCTAGGAGCCTGGGTAGAAGCTTCCAGCTTCGTCTGCCCAGCAGTGCCCCTTTGGATTAGGCAGACACTAGCAGAGCCCTCTGGATAAAGCCTCCCTACCCATGTCCTCCTGGCAGGCTACGAGCTCCTCTTCCAGCCAGAAGTGGTGCGGATATACATCTCCCTCCTGAAGGAAAGCAAGACTCCCGCCATCCTGGAGGCTTCAGCAGGAGCCATCCAGAACCTGTGCGCTGGCAGCTGGACGGTGAGTGCCCGCGGAGCTGGGACAGGGAAGGGGAGCTGGGAATGCCGCGGTGGGGCTGGCAGCGGTGTCCCCAGCCCCAGGTGACACGGTGGCCCTGTGTCTCCCTGCAGTATGGCCGGTACATCCGCTCAGCCCTGCGCCAGGAGAAGGGGCTCTCCGCCATCGCCGACCTCCTGGCCCACGACAGCGAGCGCGTGGTGAAAGCGGCGTCTGGCGCCCTGCGCAACCTGGCCGTGGACCTGCGCAACAAGGAGCTCATCGGTGAGGATGGCACGCTCCCCGTATCCATGCAGGCTGGGCAGGAGCTTCCTCCTCCTCCTCTTGGCTCCTGGGGAATGTATGGGCACAGCATCAGCCCAGCCTCTCTCTGCTGCCCTCACCCAGAGCAGAGTGCTGAGCTCCGCAGAGAGAGAACAGCAAAACGGGCCCCCTGTCAGTGGTTTTCCCTTCAGACCTGTTCCCTGCTTGCTCACGCCCAGCTCTTTATCCTTCCCAGGCAAACATGCCATCCCCAACCTGGTGAAGAACCTGCCTGGAGGCCAGCAGAGCCCTGCCAAAAACCTCTCTGAGGACACAGTGGTGTCAATCCTCAACACCATCAATGAAGTGATCGTGGACAACCTCGAGGCGGCCAAAAAGCTCCGGGAAACACAGGGGATTGAGAAGCTTGTGCTGATCAACAAATCTGGGTAAGCTCTGCTCAAAGGATGATGCCAGGGGTGGAAAGGGGCCTCACTTTCTCTGGGTTTCCAAACATCTCTTCCTTCACCTCTTCCTAGGAACCGCTCAGAGAGAGAAGTCCGGGCAGCCGCTCTTGTTTTGCAGACAGTCTGGGGCTATAAGGAGCTGCGGAAGCCCCTTGAGAAGGAAGGCTGGAAGAAGTCAGATTTCCAGGTGTGGGGATGCCCTGTGGTGGCCAGGGTGGTAGGTGGGATCCTGCAGTAGGGAGAAGGGTGTTCTTGGAGCTTGGCAGTACTGGCCGGTGGCTCTTCATCTTGCTGGTGGCACTGGGCAGCACGGAGGTGTCCCTGTGCTGTTTTTCAGCCACTGGCAAGCAGGAAGTCTCTGCTAGGAGCACTCTGTGAAGTGTCGTGTCCTGTGTCCCACATGAGCATGAGGCAGGGATTTTGTCACTCTAAGTGCTGCTGTGGCAGTGTTGAAGAACAGGGTTCTCCCAGGCTCAGTTTCCTTCCCAAAAGCAGGGATTGCCCTTGCTGCTGGAGGGCCAGGCACAGCCCCAGTCCAGGCAGGCCCCCCCCACTCTGTTGGGGGTGCAGTGGGGGGCTTCAGCACCTTCTGGTTACTTTGGGCCTCTTACTCAAGGGCTGTGGGAGGGTTCCAGGGTTTGTGCTGGTGCTGGAGGGCTCGAATGTCCTGATGAGGAAGGAACCTCTGGCCCCAGGATCTGAGTGATCTACAGCACTGTCTGTTGCTGTAGGTGAACCTGAGCAATGCCTCTCGGACCCAGGGAGGCAACTCCTTTGATGACAGCACCTTGCCTCTCATCGACAGGAACCAAAAAACAGGTATGTGCTTGCCTTCAGCACCAGTGCCTGCCATCATCCCTCTGCCTTGTGGGGCAGCTGGTTGTCCTCTCCCTTGCTCTTCAGCTGTGGCTTCCCTGGCAGCCTCGGCTGCTCACACAGGGCCGTTAGTATGATTAGTATGGGCCTTGGGTGGTTTTTCTGGCCAGCAGTTTGGGCCTTAGATGGCTTCTTGGGGCTGGCACTGTAGGTCCTTGGGTCACAGACCTGCAGCTGGGCCTAGGCTCCCCCAGCTGGGGCAGGGAGCAGTTCCTCTGCAGCTCCTGCTGCAGGAACTGTTCCTGATGTGCTCTCCTGTGCTTGTAGACAAGAAATCCTCCCGGGAGGAGATCCAGATGAGCAACATGGGACCAGGTAGGAGAGGGACTCCCTCTCGGTATGGGGGGAGCAGGGCAGAGTGCGCATCTCCTGCAGGGATGGTGCAGCCCCCTGTGGAGGTGACACGACTGACTGAGTGTCCCCTCTCCTGCTCCAGACAACTATTCCACACTCAACGAGAGGGACCACAGCAGGACACTGGACCGATCCGGTGACCTCGGGGAGATGGATCCGGTGAAGGCAGCGCCGCTGATGGTGAGCAGCCCTCTTTAACTCGGGAACTGTGGGATGGATGGGTGCAGGAAATGCCACATCACTGTCCTGTCTGCCAGAGGAGGGGAGAGCTGGGCTCCCACAACTAACACCCCCCATGCCATGGCCCCTACTAACCGCATGTGTCTGCAGCAGGAGGAGGGGCAGGAGTCGCAGCCTGAGGTAGAGCAGGAGGAGGAGGAGGAAGATGCTGCTGTGCCCTCCCCCGAGTTGGTATGTCCCACAGTGTCCTGCCCAATCTGACAGTGGTGACAGATCCTGCTGTGCTCTTAGGGGTGCTTGGCCAGCCAAATCCTGCTCCAATCACTGCTGCTGCAATCACTGGTGCTGTGATCCTGCCTCCGCCCTCACTCCTACTCCAGCCTTAACACTTGTCCCTCTCTATCTCTCTACAGCAGAAGATCTAGCTGGCCTCCCTGCCTCTGTTCCATTTGGGTTGATAATATATTATATATATAAATATATAACTCTTCATGATGGAATGGACCGACTTTTACCTTGTCTTATTGTTGGAATTTTGCTGGACTCTCTGTGCCAACCATCCAGCCAAACGCCTGGGCCGGGTCCCCAGGGCAGCCCGGGCCACTCGGTCTCCTCCGGGCCACTGCACCTCCCTGTTCTGGGACACCACCACTGAGAACTCCTCCTCCCGTCCTCCACCACCTCCTTCCTCCTGAGAGTAAAACCTTCCTGCCTGACTCTGCCGGATCAGCCGGCGTGGATGCTGCACAAGGACTCGGATCTCTGCCTTGACCAGGAGCTGCCTTCTCTCCCACGCCTTCCCCCTGCTCCGAGGCATCTTGCAGGGACAAGGACTGGGACCTCACTCACCGCCGCCTTGTTTTTGGTTTGGTTTTGTTGCCTATAGGATATATTTTTTCGTGTGGGATCACTCTTCAACCAGCGCCATGGGGACAGCAGGAGCATCCCTCCTCCCTGAGGGGGCTGCAGGACCAGGGTCCAGGGGCTGGAGGCACAGGGGCCAGGGGAAGGAAAACCAGCAATAATGTCTCTTGCTTTGCTCTAGATGAGGCTTTGGGGGCATGGGAAGGGAGATCCAGCTCTGGATCCTGCAGAGGGGTCTGGATGGGGCCCTGGCTCCCACCCAGTGCCTGTGTGAGGAGGATCCTTCTGTGAGGAAGGAGGTCAATGCTGGGGCATGGGCCAGGGCCCCCAGGGAGGGAGGAGATGCCGGCAGGGTTTTGGGGAGGGCAGGCGGCTCGGGGCGCACTGTGCCGGGCACCTGGAGCTGGGATCCCCTGGCGCTGCCCCGCTGACTTTATCTTGACACGTGCCTTTCTTTTGCCACTGTGAAATAGCTCTTTGAATCGTACTGTCCAGCTGCTTCCCCGGGAAAGGGGAGTTTCCTGGCCTTCTGGCCGGGCTGAGCTCTTCCCTTCCCCGCTGGGAGCCTTACCTGTCTGCAGTGGGGCTGGGAGCCTCTTCTGGGGGGAGCCCACCCCCCCTGCCCTCGCTGAGAGGGTGCGGGGTGCTCATCTGCATCCTGGCCTGGGCTGCCACGGGAGTTGGGATGTGCTCCTCCTCCTCCTCCTCTGGCTGTGGTGCTGGGGCACATCCATGTGATGTGATCTTTTAGGGAGCCCTGGGGCTCCCTGTGCAACTGGAAGTCTCTGTGGGAGGCTACAAACTGGAGCAGGAGCCCTCCCAGCCCGGGGCTGCCCCAGGGTGGGCTCTTGGGGCACGGGGAGGTGGCAGGGGCAGAGCTGGTGCCTTGCCCCTGCCCCACTTCCCCCCCAGCTCTGGCTGGGCCTGCCCTGCTTCCAGCCCCACCTCAGCTCAGTTGGGTTTTGTTCTGGGATCTAACTCTTCTCTTTTCCTTTAAATATGTAAAACACTAATTCCTTTTTTAATTTTTAATTCCAAATGAACCAAAAAAACAGCATCCCCCTTCTCTCCTCCTTGGCCCTGGTGGGGAGGGGGCCCAAGGAGGTGGGGAGGGGGAAGCGCCAAGCCGTTCCTTGTCTGATTCCTGTGCACACTCTTGTAACGCTTTTAAAACAAAATGATTTTTTTATATAAATAAAGTTTTTAAAGTGTGATGTGTGCCTGCCCTTTGGTCTTTCTGGCTTTGCTGCTGGACCCAGCAGCTCTTTCCAAGAGTTGTGCTGATCTCCATGCCTCCCAGAGGTGTCACTTTGTGACAAACCCTGTGTATTTCCCAGCCCTCCCACCTTGCCTTGCACCCTTGTCCCCAAAGCCACCAGTAAGCAGAGAGAAGGCAGTACTGGGTATTTTATTGCATCAGGTCCAGGGAGCAGTGCCAGGGATGTCTTGCATCAGGTCCAGGGAGGGGGACAAGGAATGATGCCTGGCTTGGCAGACACAAGGCTGGGGACAGTTGGCTGAGCGGGACCAACACCAGGCATGTTGATGGGTGGGATGTGACGTGTGTTTGGGTCAGCAGATACAGTGCCAGGCATGTTGATGCTGGGCCCATGCAGGCAGGGAGGCTGTGCTGGGCACCTGGGGCTCAGAGGAAGAGCTTGTCGTGGCAGGGCTGGCAGTACATCTTGTCGCCATGCTCGCAGAAGGTGCCCTTGTGCAGCCGGCCCAGGCAGTAGGAGCAGATGAAGTGCTCGGGGTGGTACCTGCGCCCCGCGGCTGTGATGCAGCGCCCGCTGACAGGGCGGCCGCAGCTGTGGCAGATGGTGCCCTGCCGCTGGTGGAAGTGCAGCTCGCAGTAGGGCCTCCCCTCCAGCTCGAAGAAGGAGCCGCCTGTGAAGCCAGTCAGGCACTCCTGGGGGAAGGAGAGGGGAAGGCTGGCGTGGCCCTGGGAACACCCCTAGTACCTGCATCCATCCCCGCAGTCCCACTCACCGTGCACACGAAGCACTCGCTGTGCCAGACACCCTGCAGGGCTGACAGGTAGTTGTCAATGACAGGGCGCTCACAGCCCTGGCATTTGGGGGCGAACATGGCCAGGAAGTCCTGGTGGCAGTACGGCTTCCCATTGTGCTCCAGGAACCCTGCAGGGAGGGGATTGGGATGGGCACCCACGTGGGGATGGCTCACACTGGGGACAGTGGGACATGGTGGTACCCAGGACAGGAGGCAAGGGAGAGACCGTGGGGAGCTCTCTCATGGGGTGATAAGTGCAAGAGCAGGGATACCTGGGATGGGGGCAGGACCCCCACCCCTGTTCCCTGGCACATACCCTCATCTCCAAACACCTTCCCGCAGTGGGCACAGAAGAAGTGCTCGGGGTGCCAGGTCTGGTCCAGGGCCGTGAGGACTTTCTGCAGGAAAAGCCGAGGTGAGGGGGCTGGGGGGAGGCGGGACACAGGACAAACAGGTTGCTGCCAATGATTAGGATGAATATGGCGATTAGGAAGAATGGTAGGTGAAAAATTTTGTAATGTAGGGGTCCGAGGCCATATATCATGTTGCAAATTGTAGGCTAGATAGTGATATGAACAGTGTGATGGGGAAGAAGGTAAGGGAGTAGAAATCTGTTTTTAACTGATGGGGATTTTGAAGTTTATAATGAATTTTCATTCTCAGAAGGAGGTGAGGCTTTCTGTTCTGGAGTGGATGTAGATTGTTATTGGGATTAGGCTGATTAAAAAGGAGATTTTGACTGTGTTTGTAATTGTGTTGAGGGTGTTCTTGAGGTTGTTGGATAGAAGTGGAAATAGGATGGGGGTGGAGAGAGTTACTGGGGTTAAGAGTATGAATGTGTTTAGGACTAATGAGAGGTCCATTACTTTCACTTGGACTTGCACCAAGATGAGTGGCTCCTAAGACCATTGGATTACTGTTATCCTTTGAAAGTCAGGAGACTTAGGTTTTATACTCAGATACAAGCGCTAGCAGTTCTCGCTGGTTTTACCTCTCCTCGGCAGGTAAGAAGGGTTTAACTTCTATCTTTAGAGTCACAGTCTAATGTTTTGGTTGAAACTGTACTTGCATATGGGGATACCAGAGATCAGTTCAGGTTGGGAGTGGGTCCCTCACTCCCTCACTCCCTCCCTCACCTCGCGGATGGGGCCGGCACAGTAGGCGCAGCGCGGGGAGAAGGCCTGGTGATAATCCTCCTCGCAGAACGCCCGCCCGCCCTGCTCGAAGAAGGGCCTCTTGTCCAGCTCCTGCCCGCAGCGGGCACAGGTGAAGTGCTCGGGGTGCCAGGTTTTGCCCAGGGCTGTGAGCACCTGCGAGGAGGAGGCACGGAGGCTGTGAGGGCGTTTCCAGGGGATGCCCAGGGGTGCCAGGCTGGCAGTGAGGGCTCACCTTGCCAGCGATGGGCTTGCGGCAGGAGGCGCAGATGCCGGCGGGCGCGGCCACGATTCCCAGCTCCTGCAGGTCCCGCGTGAGGCTGTCCAGCATGTTGTCCAGCGAGGACTCCGTGGGCACCCCAGCTCCCTGCCCTGCCGCTGCCAGCTGTTGGGAAGGAGCATGGTGAGGTCTGGGTGAGGGCCAAAGCCCCAGCCCAGTGCCCCAGGGCCAAGGCTCACCTTGCTCTGCGTGTGGCCCAGATCGGCCAGGAGCTCATCCAGCTGCCGGGCGGCCTCCGTGTGCGGGGCTAAGGGGAGCAGCGGCTTTGGGACCGGTGCAGGGGTGCTGGGCATGGCAGAGAGGGGAGATGCTGCATGTCCACCCCAAAGGCAGGACCCTCCACCCCTGCCCACACAGCCCTTTCCCACAGGCCACCACAGGGAACAGTGCAGGTTTGCAGGATACAGTCTGTCCCAGGTGACCCTGCATGGCAGATCCCAGCAAGGAACAGACAGCCCCAGGTCGCTTTGCCCTCCCATGGCTGTTTTTACCTGTACACTGAATCCAAACCTTCTCCTGGAGGCTGAGCTCGAGGTGGCAGTGGCACCTGAAAGGACAAACCCTTGTGGCAGAGCCCTCAGGGTGCTCCCCTGGCAGCTTCCTCTGCCCAGCTCCACCGCCCCATCATGAGCTGGGGGATCTCTGTGCCCAGGCATTACCTTTGGGGCACCATGCTGGGCATCCTGGCAGGAGCTTGGTCCCTGCAGTGCACAGTCCTTGGAGGCCAGGCAGGAGCTCTGCTCCAGCTCTTCCAGCAAAGCATCTGCACAGAGACACCCAGGTCAGGCCCCACAGCCACCAGCTGCCCGCCCTGCAGTCTTGTACCACTCCCAAAATCTCAGGAGCAAAAGGAGTGTCACAGCAGGTCCTGCTGGCCAGCTGCCCATCCTGAGGAGCCCTGAACAGCCTCCCTGAGGCCCCTATGCCAGTGCAGGATGTGCCCACCTTCCCAAGGAGTGAGAGTGGGGCAGAGTCCTGCCCCCACACACCATCCCCGGCCAGCAAAGAAACCTCTGCCAGTCCCCAGCTTGACCCAGCATAAGCCCTGGCAGGAAAAGCTCACCCTGGGCCCATCCTGCGTGTCCAGAGCATCACTTCCCCCCAGGTGGGCTGAGCATTTTCCCTTTCCTCTTTCACCCCCCAGCCCTGGCTGTCCCTGACACTGGGAACAGGGGATGCCCCCAGCAGTGAGCCTGCTCCCCTGAGCCCAGCTCCCAGCCCAGGCCAGGGATGGCTCCCAGCTCCCGCTGGGTGCAGCCAGGGTTGTGGCGCTGCCTCAGCCCATTTCCTGCTCTCAGGATGGCTCCATTTTTGGCCAAGTGCTCGCTCAACCACCGACCCCATTGTTCCCTTGGGGTGGGGGAAGCACAGGAGGGAGCAGGGCTCAGGACGCCCCTCAGCGTCATCCCCTCCCGGCCCTGAGGTACAGGAAGGAAGAGGCTCCCCGGAGTAGCCAAAAATGTGACCCCAAGCCAGGCCTGGCTGCAGGATGAGCTCTGGAGAGGCCCAACTTACCCAAATCCTCCATCCTGCCTCAGTGTGGGGTCCCAGGGCTGGGGCAGCCTCCCGAGGTGCTGCGATGGCAGCGGAGGCTGCGCCGGCTCTGTTCCGGTCTCGCCTCCGCCCCCCGCGCCGGGGTTTGTCACCCAGGGTTTCCTCTGTGGGCTGCACACACCACGTGTGACGGGCACAGCTGGGGCACAGGCAGCCACAAATAGCCCAGGCTGGGGCTGAAGGGGGGAGAAACTGGCCTAGGGGCTGCTCATGGAGCTCCAGGAGCCAGGACGTGGATGTCCTGCTGAGCCAGGCCCTGTGCAGAAGCCACCAGCCACATGTGACAAGGGATGGTGTCCCTGTGCTGGTGGAAATGGCTTTGTGGCAGCATGATGGAGAAGTGCTGTCACCTTACAGCAAAGCCTTGCCTTTGGGGGACGCTTCTGGAGCCTCATCATCGATTCCCAGGTAACAGCAAATCGCTTTTTGGCAGAGAAATCTCCTGGAACTGCTGGGAGCAGAGAGTGGATGTGGAAACAGCTCGAAGGGACTGGGGGATGTTAATGCCAGAGGTGGGTGCACATGGCTTGGTGTGTGCTTTGGGCTCTGGTTTGGCTGTTTGCAGGAGGCAGCACCTGGTGAGTGACCAACAACATCTCTGTCACCTTGGCCACCAGCCCTGACAAAGCGTCACCAGGTCCTGGCTTGGCTCCTCTTTAGCCCAGCCGGAAAAACCTCGGGAGCAAAGGCTGAGAGCCACAGACTCCATCCAGCACCCACAGGGGTCAGGCTGGCCCTGCCCTGCCCCGCTCCTGGGCACTGCTGAGCCCCTCAGTTGCCACCTCAGGGTCACTTCATTCCTGACTCCATTTTGTCGCCTGCTCACAGCAGGGACATCCAGGCCAGCCCCGCCTCAGGAAAAGGCCCCGGGGCCACCAACCCGCAGTGTCCGGGCTGTTTCAGGCCAGGAATGCTGAGAGCCCCCCAAAGCCCAGAGGAGGCGCTGCTGCTGTCACTGCTGGGGCTGCCTGGCCGTGGATCCTGGTGACAGGCCTTCCCTTTCTGCACTCCACAGAACCTTCCTGCCTGCGGAAGGTTTTGGGCTATTTTTAGCTTTCTCAGTGATTTAGTGATGTGCGAGCCCGAGTGCACACGAGCATCTGGAGCTGGAATAACTTAAAACTTGTCCTTACAGAACCCAGAGGCCAGAGGCTGAGCTGTGTCGTGCCCTGAGCTCTGCTCCCCTTTCCAACAGGAATGAAGTGACCCCAGCCTTGCCTGCAGAGGGGGAATCGGTCATGACAATGGCAGGGACAGGTTGGCACGGGGCTGACAAAAAGCAGGGACAGGAGGAATCCCTGTGCAAGGATCCTGAAGTTTTCTTTAATGCAAGGACATTCTCCTCCTTCCCAGGGTCTGGCTCAGGGGAACGTGGCTCTCCACAGTGCGGAGGTTTATTAGCACACTCTCAGGAACTGTTGGACACACTTTTATTTTCTAGGAACATGGCAGAGCTCAGGATTTGAAATGCAGAAGCAGAAAGGATTTGAAATGCAGAAGCAGAAGGGAGCAGCAGGCGCTCGGAGCCCTCTCACTGCTGGGAACCAGTTCAGCAAACAGGATTTTCCAGCTAAACGCTGCGGGCTCTTTGAACCCCGGCGATTTTTGCTTTTTGTCTCCCGAGGGAGGATGAGGAACACCTTGTTCTGGGTAAGTGTCACCCTTTGTTCTCCTGTCATAAAGCACTGGGTAAGAGTGGCCAGACCCTCCTCTCCAGAGCACACCCCAGTCCTGCTCCCCGAGGTCCTGGCCTGGTGTCACATCTTACTCGGTCCAAAAGCCACCGAGGCGGCTGGGACAGCAGGGAAGGGGACAGAGTGGCAACCATGAGCAAACCCGCTCCCGGGTGGCGCCTTTAGCGTCAGCGGGGGCGAAGTTTTGGGGTTTTGTGTGGGTTCAATGCGTTAGTGCAGTTCCTGTGGGACAGTCAGGCGTTGCTGGAGTTGTTTTGGGGGGGACTCGGGCCTTGGAGACCACGGGAGCGGGTG